CCAATGACCAGCGTGGGCTCCTCTCCAAGGAGGACTTGGTCCTGCCTGACTTCCTCCAGCTCCCCAGGCAAGACAACAGCATCTGCAAGGGGTTGGATCAGCCCTGTGCCCCCCACCCAGGCTCCGAGGGAAACAGCCATCCTCAGCCCACAGAGCCTGCACCGGCTCAGCCTCCGGTCAACCACCAGCTCCGATGAGTCCTGCTGCACATCCGCACCCGGCATGTGGTACCCCCGGGCCATGCTGGGGTTCAACACCGGGCCTGACCTGCCCCTGCACCGCCGACACTGCTCGGACCGCAGATTCGTCCACGTCCTGTCCCAAACTGTCGTGTCGTGTCGCTGTCAGTGGTTGAGCAGCTGCCATTGTCCCTTGGTGGGGTCGTGTCCTGGTGCACATCAAGGGAGTCCTGTACATAGTCTGAACCCCTGTTGCAAAGCACTTTGCAATGCCCCACGCATGTCTGCAGACGTATTGGGCAGGACGGTGCCTCTACCTGTTCTGCCTGTGGCAGAGATGCCCACCGAGCACACCCTGCCCGTGCTGGGCTGGCACAGCTCCCTTGGCTGTGTGTGGGAAAGCACTCTTCCAGCCAAGGGTGTGCAGGATAGAGAAGGTGGATGGGGTGACAAGGCAGGCTCCAGCCCCAAACCCTGATGCTGTTCCCTGACCCCTCAGGAACAGGGCCTCCCCTATCGCTGATGTGCGAGGCTGCCCTTCTGAGAGAGAGTGAGCGTGGCCCTGCTAGCCTGCGCCCCGGGCAGGGGCAGGTTGTTACTGACTGCGGGGTGTGAGCATGGCCCAGCCTGATCCTGCCATGATAGCACTGCCATTGTGGAGCTGAGCACCTGGCTCCTGCCCCAGGCAGAGGCAGAGCCAGCAGGTCGTGCCAAACAAGCCTTTCTCCACCCTGCAGGGAGACCCTGCGTGGGTGGCTGCTAAAGCAACCCACAGGAGCAGATCCTTGTAGGTCCCCTGACCTGGCCCAGCTGGGGCTGTGGGTGCTCAGCCCTCGGGGACAAGCCATTGCTGGTGCCAGAGGAATGCAGCATGCATTGCACAGCCTGGTGTGCAAGTACCCAGCGTGGGCCCAGGCTGGCATCCCTGACAGTGGCTGGGCTGTAACCTTAAGCCCAGCTCTGCCAGACCTGGCTGTGCCCCACAGATCCCCATCCCCAACAGCCCTGTGTCCCCAGAGGTTCCAGACCCAGTCTGTGGGGGAGACAGCTCCCCGACAGCAGCCAGGAGATCCCTCCGTTGCCCGCGTGTGCTGGGCCCTTCCTGGATGTGCCCTGGGTCACTGCTCTGACACCGCTGCCCAGCCAGAGGCAGAGGAGTGACCCAAGGCACCTCTGGGGGCTTGTCCAGGGACAGAGGGCATAGCCAGTGTCCCCAGAGGTTCCAGACCCAGTCTGTGGGGGAGACAGCTCCCCGACAGCAGCCAGGAGATCCCTCCGTTGCCCGCGTGTGCTGGGCCCTTCCTGGATGTGCCCTGGGTCACTGCTCTGACACCGCTGCCCAGCCAGAGGCAGAGGAGTGACCCAAGGCACCTCTGGGGGCTTGTCCAGGGACAGAGGGCATAGCCACCCAGCCCCACACCGCTGTGGCCAGGTGTGGGCCCCCC